TTCTGCTCCTGCATTCCGCACATGCACTGTTTTTTCGCCTGCTTTGTTCACTGTACTTTCACCCGGCATTTCAAAGAACACAGGAGTTTCATCAACACTTCCAATAGCTCCTATGGTGTAGTTATGCGTCTTTCTTAATTTCAGGACATGTTTTTGAAATGCAAGCAGTTTCTGCGGGTATGTGTTGGGAAGGCGCTGCGCTATTGACGTCCGTCGCCGAATTACAAGATCATGTCGGGCCATAGAGCGCCTTGCCCATCCATAACTTCCCTTAAATTCATTACGGGGAATTTTCATCCTGTCCGCTATTTTGAGGCCTTCAAATTGAATCATTTCCACAGACACTGAAAATCCATCCGCCCGTGTATTACACACGTATCGCAAAAGTTTATTTTCAAGTTCTGGATGTAATGCCGCTAAGGTTACGTACATGTAGATATAGTTTTGGTGAAAAATTGGAATAATAGTAGCTAGACTGTAAGATTAAGAAACAGCCATGATGAAACAATTCAGGAAGCTTAGGTCTACAAAGAATTGTAAGAGGGAATGCCTGAGTCATTAGAATGCTAACCCGGCAGTGTAATAGCGCTGACATTGAGGAAGGAGCTATATGAAGTGGGTCATAAACACTATGGCAGGAGGAAAACGCTGAGTCGGAGGAGGCGGTAGACCCGAAAGAGTCAACCCCTTCTCGAGGGGCAACCAATGAGGGAGGCCAAAATCACGTCAGAATGGGCAGGCAACCTACCCGGAACTCAAAGAATCAGCAAAGGGAGGTTATATAAACCCTAGAAAACTTAATCAGAAAAACCTTTAGCCTTTAGACTTTTGATTGATATTAAGTAACTTAGAGTTCAGGGGAGGCTATCGCCGAGAGAGCGATGGCCGTGAGTGTGCGCTGGTTGCTGATGACGAGCATCTTCTTCCTCATCTCAAGTAAGTGAAACCATCTTCATATAGCCATGAACATTAAGTGTAACAGTGATAATTTTAAAGTGTAGAACCACAGGGAAAGATAGGCTAGATTGATTAGGTTCATCAGTGATCCCAAGGCGTAGAATACCCGCCAGTAGGGTGACAGGAGGTAGAACCAACGATGACTGCAGGTTCATTATCCAATGTAATACAACCGACAAACGTCGGCACAGTGTGTGTATAGTGTATATAACGACGTAGGTAAATAGTATAGAATAGGAATGTGTAAGAGTTTAATTCAACCCAACTATTCCTTAAGTGTTACCCTCTTCCTTGACGACTCCAGGACTTCCCAACGCTCCGGCGAATTACGAGTTAAGCCAGGACAGTGACGCAAGCTATGATAAGTTTACGAGATTTCTTGAAATAACAAGATGGTGGCAGCATACTAAACGGGGTGACAGAGCGGGATATTTCCACGCCCTCTGTCATCACGGCTGAAGATAGGTGTAGCGGCGGCTTAAGAGAGGTACAGCGGCGGAAGCGGTGGAGGTACCTCCACGCCCCCTTCCTTCTTCCACATTACATGGTTCGGCTATGTTCGGCTATCATGAGGTGTCCTCTCTCTCTCTCTCTCTGTGCAATAAGTAGTTGGTCAGTGTTACTGATACTTCATTTTTCAATTTTGTTGTGTTTAATGTTGTGACGAATAATATGGTGAGGAAGAGAACATTGTTTTTTTGTGTTGGTCACTGCACCCATCAGAATTAGGGAAGCAACATAACACTGGAAATGTAACTTTCTTTCCGCGGAAAGATTGTCAATTTTGTGACTTTTTTCAAGGGCATCTTTCGTTAGTATCCATCTTCGCACATTTTTTTCGTCAACGTCGAATTTTTTCCCTGCTGCTCGATTTTCGTGTTCTTGTGCGTAACGCACCACTTGAAGTTTAAATTTAGACGTATAACCTGCTCTTACTCGACCCATGTTTCACTGAGAACTAACCAGGCAAGTCAAGTAAAGGCGAAAATGTTATAACTCTCCCCCGAAATGCCTTTGTTCCGAGCGGTACCGTTATTTTCGCTAGTTGCGAACTTAGGAATGTTAAACGTTGCCAAATTTCGGAATAATTTCTACTCCTGAACTAATATTCCAAGAAAATTATTTTTTCTATAATTTCTGTCTGAAAATTGTGCTGCGGCCTGTACACGCACGCGGCCTATACATGCGTAAATACGGTAATTAGAATGATCAAGTCAAGGAGGATGAGTAGGCAGGTCATGTAGCACGAATAGGGGAGACGAGGAATGCGTATAGGATATTGGTGGGAAAGCCAGAAGGAAAGAGACCACAGGGAAGACCAAGGCGTAGGTGGGTGGACAATATTAGAATGGATCTTAGAGAGATAGGATGGGATGGTATGGATTGGATAAATCTGGCTCAGGATAGGGACCATTGGAGGGCTCTTGTGAACACGGTGATGAGGGTTCCATAAAATGCTGGGAAATTCTTGAGTAGCTGCAGAATTAGCGGCTCCTCAAGAAGGGCTCAGCTCCATGAGTAAGTAAGTAAGTACAGAGTATTTATTTATGGTAGTACTGAGCCTCACACGATGGATATGTTTTAATGAAAATTTTTGTGGAGAGATTCAAGCAGCATAACTTATCTTTAGAAACCCCGTCTGGCCTTTAGTTTGGCTTGCGTAAACAGAAAACTTTCTTAACAAAATGGGTGGATAAAATAAAGGCCCTCTAAGAGGCAGGAATACAATACAGTACACCCATCTGAAATAACAAAATGCGATACAATTCCTCGAATTCCCAGATTCTCATATTTACTTTTTTTTTCGCTTATTTCCTTTTTCGTTTTTATAATTGGTTCTTAAACACGTCTCCTCGAAGAACTCCGTCTTCTGCTATCTGATACCGTGCAGATATTGTGTAATACCGACGTTTCGGAGGAACGTATAAAAATCCGCCAACGAAGAACCAGCGTGTGCAAGTGGCTGCAGCCACTAATCTCCTCAAGTTGCATAATTTTTTCATTTCCTTGAAAATAATTACCAATTTATGACAGCCACAACTTTGTTGTCTTTGTTTTAGTAATGCTTTAATAAAATTCCACAAAACTGGTGGTTCTCTGCACGCAGCAATGAACCTCAGTTAACTGCTATGTACGTCACACTTGGCAGCAGAAGCCTTCATTATGACTGATGGAATACCGGCATATTATTGTCAATATGTCACATGCGACTGATATTTATTGAGAACACATAAAAATATTTTTAAACGTATCTACGCAGAAGCCTTCAGCATTTTGTATTGTCAGAATCATAAACATCAGCCGTGCGGTCTGTATCGAAATATTAACAATGAATATTAATCATGTGAAGGCTCTTGTAAGGAACTGACAGTGTGAATATTAGCGTGACGTGTTTACAGCAGCTTAGCTGGCCCAGCTTTTGTAGTGCAAAGTGTGAGTTGCAACAGCTTTTAATTTACTAATATTTTCAGTGGAAAGAGTCTATGATATGCGATATCATGAACTACTGGAGTCATAGTCAGAGTTACTTTGAGACTGGCGGTTTACCGCCAATCAGTTCGTCTTGGCGCCAAGCCTCTTTAGGATCACGACCAGAGACTTTTATTTTGCAACTGAACCTTTACTGCACATAGTCCTTATGTAACATCCTCTCTGACGAGAGTATGGGTTTATCTCATATGAATATGTTGGGCCTTTTGTCAAGTGTATGTATCGCACTTATAGCAAGTTGTAGACATGTTTACTTGTGTACTATATACAAGTCCTCTGTCAGTCCACGCTTCGCAATTATGGGACTCTTGGAAGCACGAAGTATATGCATATGTACATTTAGTCCGTACCTCACAGGAAACACATTACGTCTCCTCTACAGAGCCCAACCGGTTAATGCTGTTTAGGGAAACAGTCGCTGTTTATTGTGATAACCATATGGAACACATAAATACACTGTGCGAGAAAAATGGGATGAATGTTAAAGCGGTGGTATGCATAGTTACCGCTTCGCTTCAAAATGTTAACGACAAACCTACGTATTTACATACTTTTTAGATAGGCTACAGTTCTATGGCCTAGGCTTTAGCACTGTGGCAAAAGTGTAGACTGAGTGTGCTCAAGAACGGCGTGTCGGGGTGAAGGAAAAATATTTGAACTCAAGAAAAAAAATGACAGGAAACTGAGAAAATTACACAGCGAGGAGTGTCAGAATTCATACTCTTTATCGAGCATTATTAGGGTGATCAATTCAAGGAAGATGGGATGGGCAAGATATGTAGCGGGCGTGGGAGAAGTGAGAATAAGATACGCATTTTTTCGTTTCCTGCATCCTGTTGTGTTACAATATATAACTTCTTCAATAAGACCGTCACAACACAACCACATCAAGGTCAGTGCCTTGTTTTGGCTCTGCTACATGTTTCGGCTATTAATAGCCATCTTCAGGCAAATACATGGTTCTACGAAAGGCGGGATATTTCTTGAGCAGCTAAGCGACTGTTAGCTTCTCACGGAGGTGGTTATAGCGCTCTCCCGAAGTACACAGTTTGCTAAGTGAACAGTCAGTTTTCGCATGGCGGATCAGTCTACTTCTTCTCTGAGCGTGTCGCACCAGTACAGCTTTGTGTTCACTGCCGGTGCTGCTAATTCGAACCAGAGCACCCCAGAACTACACCTTCTTTCCCATTTATTTGAGGGAAAAGCCTCTGTACCCCACAACTACCGTAGAGAACTTGCTATAGGCCTAACAAAGCGGACATTCCTCTGAGGCCTATAAGTTCGATTGGTTCCCCTTTCTATGCACTGGCCGGCTTTCTCCATAGGATACTTAGTCCTTTTGCTGGTAAATCCGACTCTTTCGTTAAGAATTCGGCCCACTTCGTACAGTTATTAAAGACTATTAACCTTCATTCTCGAGATCTCTCGTTAGCTTTGACGTCGTCAGTCTCTTCACTAATGTACCAGTCGACGAAGTGCTACAAATCACTGAAAACAAGCTCCACGACGACGTCACACTGACGGAACGGTCTGTCTTGCAGGTCGAAGCCATCATGGAGCTGCTGGAAGTCTGTTTGAGTACTACATATTTTCAGGTCGACGACAAGTTCTTCCAACAGAAAGATGGCATGGATATGGGAAATTCTCTCTCGCCCATCGTTAGCAACATCTTCATGAAGCATTTTGAAAAACTAGCTCTTGACTCAGCACCGTACAAACCATCGTTGTGGCTGCGATACGTGGATGACACTTTTGTAGTCTGGTCTCATAGTCCAGAGAGATTACAGAATTTCTTCGACCACCTCAATAGTTTAAGGCCTTCCATCTGCTTCACTATGGAAACTGAATCAGACAATGCGATCTATTTTCTGGACGTTCTGGTCATCAGGGAAGAGACGGCACTAGTCACACAAGTCTACAGGAAACCCACCCACACTGGCCAATACCTCAACTTCAATTCTAACCATCCGCCACATGTAGAAAGAAGCTTGATTAAAAGTCTCACCGACAGAGCCTCCACCACATGCCAAGATCAACAAGATTTGGTCAAAGGAATTAACAACCTGAGACACGATCTTCAGTTGAACGGTTACCCCAAAGGCTTCATTGACTCGGTCATTAATTCCAAGGGCAGTAGTCGTCCGAAGAAAGAGGAAAACCCATCCGTGTTCTGTATATATTCCATATGTGAAGGGTGTTTCTGAAAAGTTTAAACGGATAGGTAATCGATATAATATTAGGACCATCTTCCGTACGAAACACACTCTTAGGAACTCCCTTATGAAAACCAGACCGAAAAGAGATCCGCAACAAACGTCACAGTGCGTATCTAGCATTCCCTGTGAATGTGGCAGAAGCTACATTAGCAAAACAGGCAGACCTCTGGCCGTGCGGCTCCGGAAACATAGGCATAACCTAAAAGAAGGTCGTCTAGAAATATCTAAACTAGCCCAATATGCCTATGAAGAGGGACATAGGGTAGGCTGGTATGAAGCTAAGATTTTGGATATTGAAAGCCACATCAGGTATAGGAAATACAAGGAAGCGACCCATATGGCATGCTTGGCCAACCCAATTAGCCAACCCAGTTTGGACTTTTCTCCCATTTGGATCCCCATTATCAGCAATGAAGTCACCAATTCACATAGAAGATCTGTATGACGTGATATATGTTTTTATTGATTTCTATTAGGTTCTAAATTAGATAGACGTGATTTACTCCATTGTTGACGCTAGTTAGACACTGTTAGTTTTTTTACTAGTTCTCCTTTCTATTCCATGCCGTGGGGACATGGACCTGGTTATTAGTTTGGTTTCCTGACGTAAATTTCTACGGCTTTATCTATCCTGGTTCCACGCTTGTATGTGTTTGGAACAATTTGTAATGTATATTTTTCTTATTAGCTCTCATGGACTTAGCCTGGTCTCAGTTATGTATACCCCTTGTGTTTTGTGACATCGGTTGTCCGGTGATTGAGGCTAGCTCGTTCTAAGGGATCCAACAGAATAGGTGTTTCCCTCACCTGAGGACGGAAACAGATCCAGTTTCCGAAACGTCGTGTTTTTCTTAGTTATCTTAAACCAGGACGTTGGATAAAGTCCGAAAACCCAGTATCTCTGAATATAAGTACTATCTTGAGCTTCACGTCTCGACCGCTTTACCTTCTAGGAAAAAGTCTCCGGTGCATTAGATAGGGGTCTGGTTGGCGCCATAACCATTTCGGACCCCGAATGGTACAGGAAAATCCCTCTACCTGGATTCTAACTCCAGCTTCCCGGTTATTCAGCTCATAACCTAGTCTTTGTATTGACCGAGCTGTCCCGGTCCATTAATTATTATGAAAGGTAAAGAACTGGAAACACGTGGAATAAGGGAAATGATAGTAAAGATGAAAATTAAGTTTTCTGTTGGGTTAGGAAGAATGTCGGGAAAGGCGTTTAATTCGTCAGTTTGAAGAACTGTTTAATTCTCAATGTACAGAATTGGAACGATCGGATTTCATTCGTTTGTTCATTTTTGAAAGAAAAACTTAATTCACAGTGTTGAGAATAGTGGGGTCTCACTGAAAAGAAGCTCAAATTGAGAAAATAGTGTATTTTTGCAATGGGTTTTATAGATAACGCAGCACTAAAGTGAATTTATCCTCAAGGGTCACATGAGAGAGATTAGGAATGTATGCCAGATGCAACAGAATCTGAACGGAAGAGTCTATTATAATTCTGTACCAATTAATTTTGGGTTGTACGTAAATAATTATATCTTCTTTATAATATAGCACCATCATCCTCAAGGCCCTCACTGTTTGTCATAAGGTACAAGCTTTTCTTCTGTTAGTCCGACATTGGTGTATGTCAATCCATTCACATCCCAAGTTTATTATCACTTTGGGATTCGTGATCATGTATGAAGCATTTTGCATCCACTGGCAAAAATGTTGGTATTTAATTTTGTTGTTATGAAATGATATTTTGATTTCATATTACTGCGGGTAAATGGTGAGTCTGCGCTTCTGCCAATGATTTTCTTTGTAAGAACATGGATGGTGGCCAATGAGACGGCACCTTATTCGTTACTAGCTGTTTGATGCAATATCCAATATGGCATCTTTAGCGGTGTTGGTGTAATTTGTTGATGAAGATGTTTTGAAACTCAAAGGTAGTTGTGGCTTGCTAACAGGCACGAAGATTTAGGTTTGTAGAGTAGAATGTATGCTTGGTTTAAATAAGGGTAAATTATAAATTTATATCCAATACGATTATAAGAAGGCACTTATATGTATATGCGGTTGATAAAGTGTATTTTCTCGCAACACCCCCCAGCTGCAAGGGATAAATTTTAGTACCACATTTGACATACTTCTGTGAGAGAAACAATGTTTAAATTCTGATAGCCTGTAGAATTCTGAATTCAGATGTCCAACTTTGACCATGTTACATCTCCCCCCCCCCTTTTTTAGATTTACAGTAATATTTTTGTGGCATCTAAAATATGTGGTTGTATTGTTTATAATAACTTATAATTTTTGTATTGTTGCTTTTTTGTTCTGTCAGTGAACATAGAATTATTTATGCATATGAGTGAGAGTGTGCTTGAATGTTAAAATTGTTATAATTTGCTGAGCAAATATGCAGCAAAAAATTAAAGTAACAGGAAGGAACTCAGACTGTCGAATGTTAAGTATATTATTTTTATTTCTGTTATATTTTGTTCATGTGCGTTGGACAGATTTTATAACTGTGGAATATGACAGTGTTAAAAAGTGTTAATTAGAAGATTGGAACCGTGATGTATAATCATCGTCAGTGAGCTGTGTGCTGGATACTTTTCTCTCTGTAATGAAGGTAAGGTAAACATCCTTCTTAAACATTTTGTTTGATTAAGTGTTTTCTATTTTCACACTGTTTATTTTAGCTTCTATAGATTATGTTTTGTGAAGACTTAAGTGACTGGAGGAAAGGGGCAGTGTATGTTGTTACATAAGGAAACTTGAGTAAATATAGCTAGCTGTACATTAAAAAAATATCATTACAACATGCCACAGAAAAATATTCATGTGAATATGTTAGAAGGGAATTATGATTAACTTTCTGTAATAAACTGGAACAGATTTTTAAAATGGTAGTTCAGAACTTGGTGATAGCTTAATGTATAATAATTATTTTGTGCTCCGTATAAAATATATAGGCTGGTATGGCTTACATATTTTTTAGTACGTGTTCCCTTTTCTTAATTTCCTTGTCATGGATTTGGTTTGCTATCAATTCCTTATTTCAAAATTTGTATAATTAATTTTAGTAGTTTTATATACATTGAACAAATATAAACTTTACAACAAAGAAGTAGGAATGAGTAACATATATGAATTTCATATATTATTTAATTTTATTGATGGAACTCTATTTTTTATTACATGTTTAAGCTTGTATAAAATTTGAATAGAGTTGACTATAGACTTTTAAGATTGTTTCACTCATTATTTTTGTATCACTAGAATGGCAGCAGAAGTTACACAGTGGCAGTTGTTAGTTTTCATTGGAGCAGTTGGCAGTATATACAGACAGAAGTTTATGTAGGTTGAGGTATCTGTACCTGCAGAGGGAGATTCTAAGTAAATAATTTGGGTTAAAATGGAAGTTGCTTTTTTTCGGTCCAAAAATAGATTTTCTTAAGTAGAAGTCAGGTTATTGAGGTTATGTTAAGAGAAGTGGATTATAATAGAATTAGGATGAATGGTGGATTAAAGTTATATAGTAACTTCTGATATGTCTCCAGAATATTAATTCTCTGTACCCAAATTATTATTTCTCTATTGTGGATTTACTTGAATATGATTTTATTTAAAGAAAGAAAATATGGCACAATAAGTGAGATGTACATATGGATTTTGTTTACTTGTAGCACTGTACACATATTGCAAAGTGGATTTCAAGTTTAAGCACTGGAAGCTTTAAATTAATGTGAATGATGTTCCTCCCTTTTTACAAAGACCAACTAGTTAATTGTGTTCAGGGAAACAGTTGCTGTTTATTGTGAGATTCGTATGGAATACACAAATGCAGTCTGTGGGCAGTGAGAGCTTTGGTAAAGAATATAGTACATACAGTGACTACTTCCTTTTAAAGGGTTAATGAGAAATAAGAATTTATAAGGAAACAGCCGTGATGCATGAGAAATTACTGTCTGTCATTCATGACATTAGAAATATGTAGTTTGAGATTTATTACAGAAACCTTGCAAATATATGTTGAGCCATTTTATTTGCATGTGTTGCTTTAATTCTAAGTAACTTACCAAGTTACACTCTGAATTAGGTGTGATGTGTGAATAGCATTAGGAACATTGCATGTGAACTCCATCTACTATGGGAACAAGCATGCATCATTGTCTGTTAGTGACTCAGACCAGTATGTAATCATTTGAAAGTTAATAGATTCTATTTTCAATATATTTCTGTTACTCATACACTTGTGGGAAATTCAGGCATACTTACATAGGACTCTTCTTCTGTAAGGTCGCTTTCAGGGAGTATGACATAGCCTGGTTTGTGGAATAAATGGAATTTACTTCATATTGCAATGTTTTTCATGTAAAAAATAAAGCTATCCCTGTAACAGGCCATGTAGGCCCATAGGGTTGTGAGACGTTGAGGCTCCCATATCTTCTAGACAGTCGGCTCACAGATGGCAGTGAGATTGTCAGCCTCCCTTTGCCCCCAGGAAAAATTGTGTTCATGATATATTTATGTTAAATTGTCAATGAAAAATCCGTCGAGTGTAACAATGTTTTAGGTCACTTATTTATCTCACTTGCCTTGCATGTTTCGGTTCAAGAGAAACCATCATCAGAGGCACGTATTACAAACACACGAAAACACTGGCGTTGTTTAATGTACACAGTATGTAAGCTGCGTGGACGCTGTTACAGGTGTTGAAGTGTAAAAGCACAACACTTTCTAGTAGCATTGAATGCACGTACAACTCTTGCATTCCATCTGAAAATTGCCCTCAAATTGAGCCGTCAATGTTCAGATGGAATGCAAGAGTTGTACGTGCATTCAATGCTACTAGAAAGTGTTGTGCTTTTACACTTCGACACCTGTAACAGCGTCCACGCAGCTTACATACTGTGTACATTAAACAACGCCAGTGTTTTCGTGTGTTTGTAATACGTGCCTCTGATGATGGTTTCTCTTGAACCGAAACATGTAAGGCAAGTGAGATAAATAAGTGACCTAAAACACTGTTACACTCGACGGATTTTTCATTGACAATTTGTGATTGATAGTGTAACGGACCAAAAATGAAACAATTCAAAATATTTATGTTACTTATATACAGTCACAACATTCGTTTATTCTTGATTACTTGTTGCTGTGATACATGCTTCTCTGACATTCAGTAATATACTACAACTTGCACTTTGTAGTTTACGTTATTAACATTTGATGTTTTGGGTTTGAAGATATTGCTTGTGTCATGGAAACATGTAGTGCAGTGGTAGGTAACTGAAAGTCAGCAAGTGCTGGCAAGATTGCAATCTTCTGGGATGCGATGCAGCATATTTTGGCAGCAAGGTACTGACAATTTGGATTAATTTGCAGTCTCCATCTTAGGAACTCATCTGCTGTGTGGATGGAAGCAGCGAGTTCCTCTGCAACATTGGTACCAATCTGCCAGACTATACAGGCACATCCTAGATGACAGTAATGATGGTACTCATTTGCAAATTGCAGTATTTTGTTGCATATATATATATATGTAATTTGAATATTATGTGCATGTTTTTACATATAATTCTCTTGTACAGAGAGACTTATTCTGTGTCAGTATCAAAGTTACAGGTTGAAATCAAACCTAAAATAATGGTATAAAAATAATGTCTTCTTAAGGGTAGGAACTGCTTGGAACTTATCTACTTTTATGACTCATTTGGTGTAATATTTCTGATAATTTTAGTGGTATGGGTGTTAAATATTCTTTGAATGTATGTCATGGACTTACTGGTGTATTCAGGTGTACAGGTTGTCATGTATATTTGATTCCTCAAAGCATCTGTTCTGCATCTGGACGGGAATAATGTCTGAGTGAGGAAGCTCTTGTCTGCACTTTGTATTTCCTTCTTTAACTTGTATGAGTTGGGTTGGACTTAGTCACTTGGTACTGTGTCTTTAAATGGGCCTATTGTACCAGCCCTTGATGACAGTTGAATGTGCAGCATTGGTGGAATGGAGTACCTTGGCATTGAACGTGACCTTCCGCCATGAGAAGTTGATGAGCAAACTCCTGAGCTATGGCATGGGCTTATATTTTGCAACAAATTGTATAGGTTGATGGGTCATAATACACTGTGTGTAAAAGAAAGGCTTTTCAGTGTACAAGAAACAAGATTCCAAGAACCAGGTTGTATTAATGTCAGAAAGCAGTTATAAATGAGTTATTTCTGAGAATGATGCTTGGAGTTCAGTTTGCCTTGTATTATATGGCCAGTAATTTTACCATGAATGTTGTAATGAACCTTCTGGTTCCCTAAAAGTGGGGATTTCTTGACTAGCTGAGTAACTCAGGCTTCTAAAGAAGAACTTTTCTTCATTTAAAGGCAAAAGCTGTCAGTTCCTTCAAAACGTGTACCTGATATGTTCTTTAGGCTTTGTCTTTCTAAATGTTTCAAACTAAGGTTGTTAGTTATTTGGTTAGTAATGTTGGTAGAGTACAATAGTGGTGAGGTTTATCATTTTTGTTTCCCGCCCTCTGATCTTGTTAAAGTGTTTGCTGCCTGGGAAGGAAGCATATGATCAGTTCGGTCTACTTGTGCCAGGCATTTTTCAAGCTGTAATAAGTGTATATATATATATACACACACACACACACACACACACACACACACAGATAAACTTAATACAGCCTTAAAAATGGCTCCCACAAATAGAACTGAAATATGTATGGAGCCAGGACATCTCAGTCAGTTTATGGAATAGACTGTGGGCTGGACATCGAAGGAATTGTGGTTCGATTTGTGGTGGGGACCAGAGATTAGTGCTCTCCACAGCGCCCAGATGGGCTATGGAGCCCACCCATCCTCTTATCAAATTGATTCTATGGCTTTTTCCATGAGTAAGGTAGCATGAAGCTGACCATCGAGGTTCATCATGTGCTGGGGTTAAGTTAAGGGACCAGTGACGGACTGTTGTTAACATGGTAATGAACATGCGGGTTTCATAAATTGTCAATGAATTTCGTTACTAGCTGAGAAAATATTATGTGGTGTATCTATGCCTAGGTCTTCAATGTTGTCTCTCCCCTTCAGGTTTTCCAACCAAAATTTTGTATTTATTTCTTAATTCCCATGCGTGCTACCTGCCCCTCTCAAATCATCTTTTTACATTTGATGAATTAATAAACAACGTTACGCCAGATGAGGGCTTGGATGTGTAACCGCTCGGGAACAGCAGTTGCTGGCGAGTTCTTGGTGCACTCCAGGGCCCTTAAAAGGGCCGGATGGGGAACTTCCAGACAGGTCCATTCTCTCTCGTGTCTTCCCTTGTTTTTTGAAACAGTATCCAATATGTACAAAAACTCATCCACTTTACGCACTTGACCCTGAAGATGGAGTCAGTATGTACCCCCGAAATATCGGCAGCTTCACCCACAACCACACGGTGTAAAAACTAAAGGATCAATTACAGTAAACTCTCGTTAATCTGCATCGAAATATGAAATACGAAAAATTTTGTTCACAGTTAAGTACGTACTTTAAAAGACGCATGGGATTTAGGAGCAAGAGGACTTTCAGACTGTTTTGAGGGCAGCTGGAGAGACTGAAACCACACAAGAAAATATCCAAGATTGGCTTGAAATGGACGAAGGAGATCCTAGATTTCAGCTTTTGACCGAGGAAGAAATAGCTGAAGTGATATATATATATTTTATCATCAGCGGTACCTATATTATTAAATTTTCCATTTATTTTCTAACTTCTTTTTTGTGTTTTAGGGCTATCTTTTGTTTCATTAATCCCGACGACCTCCCCCCAGTTAACCCGGATTAGGGAGGGGTTGCTCTGACGTCGTTTGGTAATATTTAGTATGAAACTGCATATTGCCCTGAAGTGAGTAAGAATCGAGTGCCGCATGACCGCGAACGGAACGTGGGTCTACTGAAGCTGCCTGCTGGGGATACCGGAATAGAGCTTGTAACCGGTGCCGGTCACAGAATGTTTTTATTGATAGCTCGTGTGTGGGTGTGATGTCGTGATTAAATTGCTACGCCTCCTCCTAGCTAAACCAGTCAACTGCCAGTCTCTCCACTCTTCAAGAAATATTGACTTTTTATGAACCGCGAAGTTTCATTTCCGTATTCATAAAATCATATTTTGAGCCAGTTTAATCCAGTCAATGTAAACATCCTGTTTCTTTGTAATACACTTTTATATTATCTTCGCCGGTCACGGTAGCCGAGCGGTCTAAACATGTACTGTCTTCGCTCGCTTGGAAGTCGGGATCATGGGTTCGAATCCCACACAAGGCATGGATGTTTAATATGTGTATGCGTTTATTCTGTGTGTGTGTGTTGTTCTGTGTTTAGGTAGAGGCCCTGCTACGAGCTGAATACCCATCGAAGGAGTCCCACCGTCTGTGAAATGATCATGAAACTGAGAAATGAGCCCTGTGCTCCAAAGTGGGAGCGAGAGGAGAGAGAGAGAAATAAATGATATTTTCCTCTCATCTGTGGTTGGTTCCCCCAGGATGTCTTTCCTCCTTTTTGACTGACGTTAATTTATTTCTCTGGTGGGTGCTACTTGTGCTGTTCAGTCCACCTTTTTCGATTGTATCGCATTAATATTTAGTGGGGATTTCAAATCATGAAGCGCCTCGTTATTAACTTTTTTCCCATTTTCCTGCCCCTTCTTAGCTCTAAGTATCTCCTCAATATCATGTTCATAGAATCACTCATTAATCCCGGAGGATGAGGCGAGGTTTTATATCCATATGCAAAGAAAGCTAAAATTGCAGTCAAGGTCGGCAGACTTCACATATGGCATAAAGTCGAAGTGTGGATGTCTGAAGATTGTTCCTCCCTCGTTTAGTCAGCAGTTCTGTACTATTTGAAATTGTATTCTCCCATAGTCTCGCTTTCGGGTTTTTGGCAGTGATTGCGCAAATGATGGTAATTATGAATGTCGAAAGAGTTTGGACAAGAGAGAAAGCGGTTGTGGCTTAATTTAGGACATTGTGTGAAAAAGTATGCGTTGTGAGGAAAGTTGAATCTAAAACGTTCAAGGAGCCTCTGTCCTTGAAAATCAGAGGTTCTGTATTTGTTCTTAAGGTTGTTATTTAAACAAATTGTCACCTCTTATATATATATATATATATATATATATATATACACACACGCACATTTGTATTGTGTGAACAGTTATATAGT